CCTTCGGCACCCGTGCCATAGGTTGCCTACCCCTGGGCTAGATTATAGCACCTACTGTATCTTGCACTTGCTTAAACTTCTAATGGTTTGCAGCAGTGTATCCAGCTAACTTATTAAGAAACAGTTTCCAGATGTGTCAAATCAATGTCAGTGTGCTTTGTTCAACTCAGTGCGTACAGGCAGTGGGTAGATATCGGGGGTTGAGGGAAGAGGTGCTGGCCTAGTGCTTCTGCTACTGTAGTCTTCTGAAAGGAGAAAAGGGGACGGGAAGAAGATTCTATCACTCCAGGCCTGCCACTCACTTTGAGCAACCGTTCCAATACCAAAACCATTTTATGGTAGATACAATCAACTGCATTGGTCTCAAGTGTGTCCTTTTAAAAATCCAATAGTTTACGGCTCTGGTTTGAATAACTTGGGCCAAATCCCTCTTTAATGTAACTTTATTGAAGTCCATGTATTTCCACCAGGGACCAATTTAGTCCCCTGCATATGATTCCTCTTCTTGCTTTGCAGCAACCAGTGGACAAAAACACCATTTCCAGAGCGCTGCACATTCCTGTCAGTATCAGTGATGCTTAATGTGCAGCTAGAGCTGGAAACAAAGGTGTGACACAATCACTGTTCTCCCAGATGGAGCGTGCTCCCTGAGTGGCACAAAAAGGTTCTGAAGTCAATCGAACAAAATAAAAAATGTATTAAAAGACTGTCCCTGTCAATGGTGACTAGGAATCAATTGGCAAGAAGAAGCACTGCTGTCCTACCGAACAACAGTTCCAGCTAGGGTTTGACTCTGCCATTTAAAACCTATGGAGCTAGGTTTGCCACGTTAGAAATTGGTTTGCGAAGTTGGCAACGTCAGAAATTGCCACACAACAGACTAACAACAGGCTCATCCATTATCCCATCTGGACTCCTGCCTAAATTGGTAACTACAGAAAGTATAAACCTCCACAATGAGTTGGATTCTGCCCCCGGTTATTTCTAACCCCATGGAGTTGCTAATGTATTGCTTGGGTGCAGAATCTGATCCATTCACCTAGTTGCAAAATTTTACAGAAAACTACTTTTTGCCCTTAGCCCCTGAGCCGGGTATCAGCTGTAGTAGCTGGAGCAGTAATCCTTTGCCTCTTCCCCTAGCAAGTGTGACTGTAAATGTTACAGGTTGCACAGCTAATGGGTCTGTCCTTAAATCTAGAGGAGTGTTTTGCTATTCAGAGCTAAAGCAACCAGGGTATCACACTGTAAAGCCTTTCTCAGGTCAGGCTCCACTAACTACTGAATTAAGCTTCTCAGAGAGGGGGCTTGTACCAGTGGGGATGAGTATTAGTCCCGCAACTGATCTAGCCTGACAGAAATGCTGTTAGCCTCAGTTTACAGCCATGGAATCTGAGCCAGTAGAAAATAGTAAGAAGGCCGCTCTAGTTCCTGTCATCAATTCAATTCCTTCCCCACGGGCTGTAGAACTCACTGCCACCTTCTAGCAGGGACGGAAAGAGCTTAGTAAGAGCGGTAAAGTGCAGGCCCCATGACAACATGAATAGCTGCAGTAACAGTGCATGGGATAAACCTGTATCAGGGTTTAAACACTGAGCGTACCTGACACTTGCCTGTCCCTCCCACCCCACTGCAGGAAGCCACCTTCTTGGCCTTGTCCCTTCACTGAACTTTTAGTACCTGCCTGCGCCTGCCCCTGCCCCCTTCCCGCTGACCCCTGGGCATTTGCTGTCCCCTCTCCAGACCCACTGACTTATGGACAGCTACTACCCCCCTCCCTGCCGAGTCCAACCCCTGAGCACCTGCTACCCCCCCTCCCCGGACACCTGCTGCCCCCCCAGCTCCCCTCCCTGCTGACCCCATAGCACCTGCTGCCCTCCACCCCCCTCCCGCTGACCCGAGCACCTGCTGCCCCCTTCCCCACTGACCCCATAGCACCTGCTGCCCTCCACCCCCCTCCCGCTGACCCGAGCACCTGCTGCCCCCTTCCCCACTGACCCCATAGCACCTGCTGCCCTCCACCCCCCTCCC